GGCCTTTCATCTGCTTCCGAGTCCGATTCCGAGGAGGAGGAAACATGTCGCCTACGGCTAGAGTGCTCCGATGGCTGGGCGCTGGTCAACATTTTGGCAGAAATGCGCTGAAACCACCAGAACCGACTGAGATAGGCCTCCGCCCCCCGGCTGATGAAGTACAACTGGAGTGGTCGCTTGCTCCTCTGCGGATGCTTCCTTCTCTGATGGGAGAGCATCAAGTCCAGGGCAAAGGTGCAGTGCAGCAGGTAAATAGCCCCAGCATAGAGGGCTAAAATTGCATTATCCCGGCAACACATATAGAAATCAGGCCACTTCTCAGTGCGAAACTCCTCCAAAGTGGCCATGTACATGTGGGCGTAAACGGTGAACATGTGCAGACCTCCCAAGAGGCCCCCAAAAACAGCTTCGTGCTTCATCGTCGGCCGCTCTGCATAGAAGACTCCAATCAGGGACACGATACAGATGATCACAGAACCACCATAGGTTCCACATAGCAGGAATATGTGCGGAACACCTTCCTCATTGAAACAACGCCAGTGGACGAAGCAGCATCCCAGGCTCAACAGCAGCTCCATCAACTTGAACAGGAACCAAACGGGCTTCTTTGAACGCACCTGCATGTTTCCTCAAATAATTGGGTATATTACAATTGCGACACAGAACAGATAAGGATACATTTAAATTCTTGATTACAGACTTGCAACTACAGGCCACCTAAGACTAAAAATTAAAAATATGGTTAATATAAGGAAGCAGTAAAATAAGGACATTTTAAAAATTGTAGGAGCCTAAAGTAATCAATACTTTTCCATAAGTTAGCACAGATCTAACATAATATAAGATTGTGTATATAGTAGTAATATTAAACTATTTTACACTTTTAAGTTTTAACATTAAGGTGCTTTACTCAGGCAAACAGAAATATACAAATTAATTAATGATAACTTTATACTCCTACAATTTCTTATCAAAGCATTTTAATCCAGCCATTTACTTCCGCCAGTACTGGGTGAATCGATGGATCTGCTCCACCAGCGCCGGCATAACGGCCGTAATGGACACATCTAGAAGACTCTGCAAATGCTGGACAGCCTCCTCATCGGTCAGTCCAAGCTGCAGGTTCTCCTCCACCTTCTTGACCGCCTTGTCGGGCTCAAGAGCGATGTCCGGAACAGTGGCGTCCACCATCAGAGAGAATAAGTTGAGCATTACGTTGGCATGCCGACGCAAATGCAAATAGGCCGTGTAGCACTGCTTGCGGAACTCGTGGTGGTGCTCCGAACTAATCCCGCCCATGGCCTCCACCATTTCCTTGCTCAGCTTCATGGGCGGTGGCATGGGCTTGGGATCGCGACCCAGAATGTAGCCGAAATCGATGTGGAAGAGCTTTCCATTGGTGGTCAGCAACAGGTTGTCCAAATGTCGGTCACCAACACCTGAAAATCGAAGAATTGAAGTTAGTTACAAATAAATAAGGTTAATTTCTCCTTGTCTCACCCAGCAAATAGGTGATCACACAATAGCCTGCACAGCTCTTAATGTAAGTGTCCATCACCTCCGCCGAAATGCCATATGGGCCATTATCACACGGATGGTGTTTCCGGAAGAAATTGTGAATATTGCCCTCCCGAGCAAGGACCTCCGCCACCGTGCAGGAGTCAACATACTGCAGGAATCCATGTTTGGAGCTAGTGGCCAGCACCTTGTACGGAGTCAGCTTTAGATCCAGGTTCTCCCGCCTTAGCAGCTTATCCATCAAGGTGATCATCTGCAAGATGAGCTGATCCTGACGCAGGTCATCGCCATGCTTGAAAATGGCCGCGTACTCGTGATGGGCAATAGAAGTGACAAAGGTGAGTCTATAAAATAATGAAGGAAAGATTTACTAGAGGTTCTCCAACTTTGATTAAGGTTTAGCAAGCTTACTTGGCCGGCATGAGAGCACTTTTGAACAGCGAAGTCCGCATGGGTACAATTTTTGTGATGTAAATCTCTGGGTCCAGGGGAAACGGTATGGGCTCAAAGTTGGTAAAGTTCACCTTGAACATGTCCTGCTCAGCCAGCAGCTTCTGGAATTTCTCCGTTTTCTTATTGCGGTTTCCCGGCTCCTTGGCCACCAGTTTCACCAACTTGACAAGCTCGTCGATGAAGCGGCGCTGCTTTCGGAGATTATAAAAGATGCCTCGAAGGTTGAAGTTTCCTAAAAAGAAAGTTAAATAATTAGAACAATCATCTTTCTCTCATTAAACCCACACCTACCATTCTCTAGCACCTTCAGGAACATCTTGAGCACCATGGCGTACATGTCGTGGGCCTTCTCGTCCTGCTTCCTCACAGACTCTACCTCCTCCACCTCGATGGATAAGTACCAATAGAAGTAGTTGGCCAACGTGGCGTTGGTGCAGGCGCGCTGGATAAGGAATGTGCAAAGATTGGCTGGAACGCTGCCAAAGCTGATGCCCTCGGCCAGCATGAGGGCATTGGAATTGGAGTCGCAGGGCAGGGAACTGCTGCCGGGGGTGGCGGGGGCAGAGGGATTCGGCAGTGCCACCGACAACTGACCTCCACTGCCTGCAGATCCGGGACTTACGGATTTATCGCCCTTTATGGCGGCTAAAACACTTGCTGCTCTCTGATTTGCTGGAATTACCGAGGCGTGGAGGCCACTGCTGGTGGCACTCAGATCGGAAAGGCTGCTCTGATCCAGCAGTGAGCCATTGTCATCCAGGATGGAACGCACCACATCGCGCTCGGGAAAGATGCAGCTATGCAGGTGGACAATGTGCCGGGGATCCTCGTACTTAAGAGCTTGCACAAGCTGAAGCAGATAGAGCAGCAAATCCTCATCTGGAGCTTGTGCCAGTCGACTGACGGCATACTTTCGCACTTGGGGATGGGTGAAGGTGGGACTCAATAGCTCCAATGCATCCTCCACGTCCATGGGCGCCCAGTTGGCCAGCATCCAAAGCGCTTGAGTAACCTCGTCCTCCAACTTCCAATTGATGCACTTCAGGAACTTGGTCAAAGCCTTTTTATGGGAGGAAAGATAGAACCGGAACTTCCATAACAGATCCTGCTCCTCGCTGGTCAGAACATAGGTTGGAGGATACCTATAGACAATGGTGTGAAGCTGATCTCGAATGCTGTGGGTAAACCATAATTTAGTGGGTTTTATATATCTGGTAATGTACTGCCTTACCTTGCTGTGGGTTTGGCATCTCTATCTGAGATTCCCGAACGCTCCGAACGGGCCAAGCGATGGTGCTTCCTTTCTACGAGGTTTTCCTGCAATACGTTATGGGATTAATCCCATCCCTTGGCTTTTTTGGGCCTACATACCATTTGAATCTCCGAATCGGGCACGGATACCAACTTGGGCTTGGCCGGCAGCTTGTACTTGACATCGCCCTCTGGCTCAAAGTAGACCACTGCATACTGTAATGAGAAATATTGATCAGAGCTGGATGGGATTAGTGCCTGGCGAACCCACATTGTACATGTCATCCACCACGATGGCGGGGAACTCGATCATGAGGAACATGTAGTCGGACATGCGCTTCTCGCGCTCATTGATCACCTCGATCTCGCGGAACGTGAGCCTGTCCAGCCAGTCCACCTTCTGCACCTGGCCATTCCGATGCTTCTTGGCCAGCTTCCCGAGGCGCTGCATCTGCGACTTTGAGGACTCTTTGCCCTTGCCGGGCGTGCGACTGGGGAAGCTGCCATCGCCCTCGACTCCCAGCCAGACACGCAAATCGTACATTCCCTGGCGGAACATGCCGTCCTTTCCGAACACCGAAATGGAGGTGCCTCCGATGACAGTGGTCTGGCCGGCGCCCGAGCAGTCCAGGATGGTCAGCACCAGCATGGCGCTCCGCGGCAAATCGGAGAACTGCAGGGGCAACGAGACCCACTCGTTCCAGCTCCATCGCTTGCCGAATGCCTTGTAGGAGCTCGTCACGGGGAGGCAGTAGGGCCTGCCCTGGTTGAACACCTGCAGGCGCACCTGGAACGAGGGGTGCTCCTCGGAGTACAGGCCGGAGAACCTCAAAATGGGGTCTTCCAGTAGTTTTTCATAGTCAGGCTGGCGCTTCTTCCCCTCGAGCGTCCCACTGAAAAAACAAAGGTCCTGTCTGTACACCAGTATTTCAAGGTTTTCCGACCATTTTCCACTTACACCTTTATTTGCACACGTTCGTGGAGCGAGGAGCTGTGGATGTAGCGGAAATGGTCGTCGGGCTGGTCCATTTTCCTGCTGCCAATTCACTTTTTCATTTATGCGTAATTTTCACCGAGCTGCAACAACAACTGCCCACAACAGAAAACAGCTGATCGGATGGCGACGCGGCGAAGCACAGTGGGCACTGGCTATAATGGAATTTAAAACTAAACAAAGAACATTTAATTTTTGGTTATTACAAAACGGTTTACTAATTCCAGGCAAATTCTAAATACAAATTAATTTATAATCTTGTAATTATATTCTTTAGTTAACAGAATATATATTTTTACCCGAATCCGAATTAGCCAAAATCCGAATTCACAAAGGATAAAGTTAATATATCGATTAAAATATCGATGTTTTATTCGAACAATATTTCGATCGATATGTTCACCAAATCATTGCGCGCCGGATATTGAAGAATTTAAAACGTTTCCCCATTATTTAAAGAATTTCTTTGATCTATCAATTAGTTTATTACATTAAATAAAGTATTAAGTTACATACTAAGATCTTTCACCTTATAAATACTTTTGTTTCCAATACGTTTTATTCATCAAACGATCAGAACTATGAGCTTTTTAGTTGCTTTTCGGTCGAAAGAGTTACTGACTATTAAAGCAATCTACAAATATTTCGTATGCATTCTTAAATCGATATACAGACTTAAACTTGTATGTTTAAATGAGATTTTTTTTAAAGAAGTACAGAAAGATATCATTTTTATGTTTGGCAGGACCAATCTTGAATACTCCTTTTACATGTTTTAAACTTTTTAATTAAAATCGTTTTGGATGTCCTCTAGTTGATCGTCCTGATCCTGTGGCGAGTCTTCCTCTTTAAGGTTCTTCTCCTCCACCAGCCTTTTTAGTTCTTCCCTCTTGAATCGTTTGAAGAATCCAAGCTAAGGACAAGTACAAAATATATGAAGGGAAATTTGTTTTTAATCATCGCCAATCATCACCAACCTTGCGAAGACCATAGGTTATTAAAGCAAACAGAAGCAATCCACCGATTACGGCTAAGATTATGTACCAGATGGGTAATCCATTATCCAGATTCTTGTATATCACATTTGGTTGGATCTTTCGCTTAATCACAAACGAACTCGATTCGGGATCGCCCTGTTTGACAAACTTAAGATCGGTCAGAATGACAAAGTACTCAAATGGATCCAGGATATAGTTCAGATCCACTTTAAAGCTTAAATTCACGTTAACAGGCTTTTCTGGCCTAAATCGGAAGCGCATCTCTGACCGGACGCAGATCGTCTTGTTGGTATCCCGGCAGTTGAGCACAAGAGTGCGATTTTTCGGAAGATTATCCTTGTCGTTGATCTCGATGTCTTGATCTAAGGTCAGTCCTTCGAGATCCCTACGCTTTCGAGTCGTGGAAGTGGTGGTTAGCTCATTATTCTCATGGTCCTGAGAAGATTCCTCCAAAGGGTACTCAGTGAGCAGGGTATTATTCACATCGTAGAGCTTAATGGGCAACAAACGGGTTTCGTATGAGGCCTGCATCTTAAGACTGGAAATGTTAAAGAGGGGTTTCTCTACTCCACCCATATTAAAAGATATGGGTATAAAAAATAATAGTGTTAGCTCTTGTATAGTACTGGGTCCATGGCTTTTGATCTCGTAATTATTTATGATTTCCGCGGAGTAAGGATATTTGCTAAGAACAACTTGACCGTCTGCTGGACCACTGAAAATATTCAAGACATTTTAATCAGATTTCAGAAATCTTTTGTGACTATGCTTATAATCTTACCCACTGGCATCGATCTCAGTAAACTCCCTTAAGATGATCTCGTTGGTCTCCTCGTTGTCCGTGAAGTTCTTGTCGACTCCCGTGCTGAAAACAGCTGCATCGATGGTCAGTAAATCTCCACTGAGTTGGCTCACATCAAACGTGATGGCGAGGGAATCGCTGTCACCATTGGCCAGAGGTCGTCCGTCATTCAGATCACACAGCATTACCCCTTTCCTGACCCTGCAGTTTCCAGGAACCTTAGCGAAGGGCAGGCGGAAGGTGCTGGTAACTTTGAGTTGGGGCAGGTAGGCAGTCTCTCCGTGGTTAATGACTTCGTAATTCAGACGAAGGGTGTCTGTGGTGCCCAAAGTATAGCTATGACTAGGGAAAAACACTTGATATAAGACCATTTTACAAAATATATAAGCTGGTATTAGCTTACACAACATCCTTGCTCCTCAACTGCAGATCAGGGACACAGACATTAGTGGCACAACCTGTTATAAAGCTGATCTTCTCCGTGTAAGATTTGGGCTCCGATGGATCGACAACCGCACAGGTTTTACAGAATTCTATTAAAGTTAGGGTTAGTATCTATATTTTTTTACACCCTGATCTTAAGACTTACCCTCCAAGTTTTGCACCTTCTGTGAAAGTTCATAAAAGATTTCCAGATCGATGGGCTTGAATAGATTCTCTTCACTGTACCGCACATTGACCTCGAAGACCCGGCACTGCTCCTGGAGACCTGCCAGCACCTTGAAGCTTATCTCATTGCCCTGGCTCTCTATGAATTTAACCCTCTCCAGCATCTTGTCTATGGTTATACGGATATTCAGCTCCTGCTGCTCCACCGCCTTTGCCTTGGCTGTGGTTGTCAGTCGGTAGCAGGCGAAGATATTAACCTTATCCTGATCCGGTTTGATCTCTCGCGATTCCGACTTTACTGTGGCCTGTATTTTGACCACCGGATAGGTGCGGTAAAGATACAAGACCTCGGCATTGGGGGCTCCGATGGCCAGGTCGTTGAATCCATTCCCATCTATGTCCGATCCCCGGGAGAGACCGTGCCCGAACATATATGAACCGTACTCTGAAGGTTGCTGGGAAGGGGCATCCAGTCGCTGACTCGGCTGTTCCCGCAAACCGTGTTCGCTGCCCAGGTAGATGAAAACCACTCCGTTTCCTTCAAAGGGAGCTCCAACTGCTACGTCTGAAAAGATATGATAACATTAATGGATGGCTTCAGCTAATTTGTATGTGGTTTAGTAAAACTAACTGACTTTGGGCCGTTTTCTCATCCGTACGTTCAAAGTGAAATCTAATATAATATATTTCTTAGAGGGCTATATCATATAGTCTAACCATATATCATATCATGTGAGTTCGCTTTATATAACATACATAACGCGAGAAAAACCCAACGGATAACCTCTAATATATTCCGCAGAACTAAACAAAATTACTCACCATTGTATCCGTCGTGATTAATGTCGCCCAGTCGCGAAAGAGTGGTTCCAAAACGGCCCTTACTGCCAGCTGGGGACCAAATAATCTTCCGCTCGAAGTTGAACTGCCAATACTGGATTAAAGACTGAGTAATATTTATAAAAGCATTTTCTTACCAAGCCTTTGTTGATAAACACATAGATTGCACCATTGTCATAGGAATCCCCCCGAGCGTGCAAAGGGGCCGATATGACGACGTCGGCCAATCCGTCGCCATTGAGATCCTCCACCAGAACAGAGTAGCCAAAGTATTCGCCTAACTGCTTCCCCTTGAACACATGGAGCTTACGCATGTTTTTCCTCGACACATCAAAGATATAGGCCTCTCCGTAACTGTGGTTGGCTTGGGGAGCAGTGGCCACATATAGGAGGGTGGACCGGTTGCCGATGCTAAAATATCCGGAGCTTACGGCATAGCCAAAGTACGAATCGCGCTGCGCTCCCCAAGGACCGGATTCAAGGATCAGTGGTTCATAGTCCTCCGGATTTATTTCTCGCATTATGCGACGGATGGATTTCCTCTTTCGCTGGTGAAGGATCACCCCACCTTTCCAATTGTCTATGCCTGGAGCACCAATCAGGAACCGGGAATTATTATCTGTCACGTGGGCACTGAGTCCCACTTCTCCCATGTAGAAATAGCTACTGTTGTCGTGGTTCAACTGCTTGTTTACCATGTGGAGTGGCCAGATAGTATATACTCTTTTTGGAGCTGGCTGCTCGGTCATGGTGTCCTCCACCCAGTAGCAAACTCCGTGCATACGGCCATTCATGTCCTGGGGGTTGTAGCATCGGGGGGCACATACGAGGAGCTTATCCGTGTCCCAAGGACCTCCGTCCATTGATCCGCCCAGCCACTGGTAGTCCTTGCGCTTCGAGTGAAGGATCCTGATGTCGTAGGTCCCATCAACACTTCCTCGGGGGTCCAGGACGTACGGAAAGCAATCTCCGTTTTCCAGGGGGCACCTGAATATCGCCCCAGTCTCGTCGATCGTCCTCTGCGAATCCAAGGTGGTTTGGGCCCGAGGAGCGCCCACAAAGATGCTGCATGATCAAGGATAATATAAAATTGTATTGTATCTTAAGTTATTAAAAGCAAAGAATTATCATAAGCAAGAATCAAAAAATATCGGTTCACTGTATTTAACTAAATAAAGATCCGAACTAAATATTATACAACTCACCTGGTGGGCCGAATGACGAGCGAGAATCCAAAATAGGAGCTTCTCGTTTGGTTTAAGTGGGTTTTTAGATGCTTTGGAAAGTTTATCACCCGATTTGCATGAGGTGAAATATTAAAAGCTTCGGTCTGGTACTTTAAAGCAAGAAAGACGAGCAATAATAGGTGAGACATATTTTATTTATTATTATTTATTTCACACGGTTTTTCTTTGTATAGCAATTATTTGTTGGACTTATTTTTATAAAATTGTTTAGGCTTAAGAACCAGAAGCCACAGAAACTCAATGTACAATGAAATGAATTCAATTGGAATGGAAGACTTTAAAGAGAAATTATATAAACTTGGTGCCCTCTTGATATCATTTTCGGCCAATCATCTCAAGAACCACCAAACGAAAAAAAAGTTTATAAGGTTCTGAAACAAAAAGTTTTGAAATTCAGATTGTCAAAATTACTTCTATTTATCTTTTTTTTGCATAAACAAAAAATAAAGTTCAAGCCATATAAAAATATATTTAAGATTTTGTTTTGTAATTTAACAGATATCAATAATGCAATTGTATTTTTGTATCACTTTTTCATTTCAGTTGTGTTCTTTTTGGAAAATTATCTTGGAGTATTATTATGCAGTAAAAGGGAAGACAAAAATGACGCTAATTCAAGAGCTGTAATCAGTATAAAAATAATATGAAGCATAAAAACTCAGAATACTACTAAGCAAGGAATGGATATATAAATATAAATGGTGATAAAGTTTTATCCATTCATAACAATTTTTGGAGAAATTCAAGTGCAAAGATACCCGTAGTCGTGTAAAGTTTTTAAAGTAATGGGTAGCTGATAGTCTAGGCTAAGCTCACCCTGTATTTTCTGCATTTGTCGATCAACTTTCATAATTTTATCTATTCCAATATTTAAAATTATGTAGTTGCGGCGAAGAACTTGGACTGGAACTAGAGCGAATCCGGATACGGAACTAGTTCCACGGCGCGCGTGTTTTGCCAGCTGTTGCTCATTTGCCTCGCTCAAATTGCACTTTTTGTTTACCTCGCTCGAAACCAATTTAAATTGAATTAAAAAATGTCCACCAATGCTGCGATAGAATTGGCCCTGGATCGGGTGGACTGGCGGGACCTGGCCGCACATGCGGATCACTTACCAACTGTCTACACACCCGGCGAAGTGCTGATGCCAGAGGCGGGATTCATGCGTGGCCATGGAACCTTCGTGGAGGACGAGAACATCAAGGCCTCGGTGGCCGGCGTGATCCAGAAGGTCAACAAGCTGATCTCGGTGCGTCCGCTAAAGAGTCGCTATGTCGGAGAGATCGGCGATGTGGTGGTGGCCCGCGTCTGCGAGGTCCAACAGAAGCGCTGGCGCGTGGACACCAATTCGCGGTTGGACTCCGTGCTCCTCCTCTCCTCGGTCAATCTGCCGGGCGGGGAACTGAGGCGCAGATCCGCCGAGGACGAGCAGATGATGCGACGCTATCTAGACGAAGGGGACCTTATCTCTGCGGAGGTCCAGGTGGGTAGTAAATACACATATATGTACATATAAGTTTAAAACGATCGTTTACTCAGAATAATTAACCCATTTCCCCCCACCAGAACATCTTTGAGGAGGGCACCCTTTCCCTGTACACGCGCAGTTTAAAGTACGGCAAACTGTCGCAGGGCATCTTAGTCAAGGTTTTTCCCGCCCTCGTCAAGCGGCGAAAGATGCACTTCCATAATCTTCCCTGCGGCGCCTCCGTGATCCTGGGCAATAATGGCTACATCTGGATATCGCCCACCAAGGGTCAGGAGCAGGAGGGCGGCGAGGGAGGATTCGCTCTAAATTTGAACGAGCACATTCCTCGTGGTGATCGGGAAGTGATTGCCCGGCTGAGAAACTCCGTCTTAGCGCTGGCGAAGTGCAAGCTGATGATCTACGACACCAGCATCCAATATGCCTACGAGGAGTCCCTAAAGTACGAGGCCCACGAGCTGCTCCAACAGAATGTCATCTACGACATCGGCGAACAGACGCAGGCTCGCCTGAGAGACGCCGATGATTAGTTTGGGAATTATTTACGAATAAGATAAATAAATTTAGCCTTTCCTACTTCGAAAATATTAGGTCATTTATGTCCTAAATGGTGGTTAACAGTTATTTAGGAGGTTAAAATATAGCCAAAAGGTCACTTTAACAAATTAAAGTATTTATTTAAATATCCCATAATGTTATATTATGTTATACATTTATTTATATATTTGAATTCCACTTCCTTTTAACATTTCCGTTACGAGGTCGATTGCCCACCCTATCGATAGGCAAACTGGCCGATATCATTTTTCGAAACCTTATTGGTATCGATATTTAATATGTCAATCGATTAGTCGGGACGCACTCTAAATATCGATAAGCCCTGTACTATCGATATACTTTGTGGCCACGGATTGGCTGCACCCATCTGGCAACGCCGCGCGGTTTGTGCAGTAGAAAAGACGCCGAGCAGATTGTTTTCCTCGCTTTTCCAATTTGTGCCTAATTTGTAGTGAATTTCCGCGTTGTTTACCTGAGCCCGGTAACGAGTTAATTGTAACTGTCGCGATGGCCGAGAAACTAGAGGCTCGCGAGGCGCTGATGACCGAAAAGAAGGTCTGCCGCTTTTGTCTGACGGAGCAGAAGTTGGCCTCGATTTTCGAGGAAAACTCGCGTGTGAAGACCACCGCCAATCTTCCCCTGCAGATCATGGCCATCACGGCGATCGAGGTAAGCGGAATGGCCCGGCAAATGGCCTATGGGGTTCTAACTTGGACTAACAACCGCCACGCATAACTTGGCTAAGAAATCGCGCCGTGGTTTCCGAATCGACTGCGACGGCGTCTTGGCTAAGTCTCCCCCATCCCGCTGTTGTCCTCTTCCCACGCCAGGAAAGTCCTTGGCCAGGAGCCCCCAGGATGTGACCCACTGGTTACCCAGTTACTCACGGGAGTTCCCTCTTTTCGGTTGTGTGAAAAAACCCATTTTCAATCAATTGGGGCAACTGTACTGGCCGCACGCACACTCATGCGGCGTCAGCTGATCGCCCGTGACAGCTGTCAGTTGTTTTTTTAGGCGCGAAATCAAAATCCAATTTTTAAAACTAAAACTCCAAAAAATAATATTCTTAAATATTAATATTTTGTAACCATAACTCAGCAGTAACCTGGATTGTTTTGTGAATTAATATGCTCAACTACTTGTTGCTAATTAACAACTATACGATAAACAAGTTTATTCCTATGTTTTCAAAAAGAGTTCAATTTAGAATTGCTAATTTAATTTACCTATTATTTTAGCTTCATTTTTCTCTTCTTAAGATACATTACCTAAAATTTTATAGGGGCATAAGTGCCCACTGAGATCTTATAGGTCACCCCCAGTGACCTCAAACAGCTCAAAAAAAAGATTTAGGGAGCTACATAAATTCTTTCAAATGCAGAATATCAAAGATCCGAGAGAGCGCGAACATAGGAAGTAAGAACAATTACAAAAAAACACAAAATGGATTTGACTTCGACTTTCGCGGAGGTGACGACGCGGGGGGTAGAGCTGTAACGGAAGGGGAGGAGTAGTTTAAATTGAAAATGTTTGTCTTAGATCCGCGAAATTCAATAAATTAATCTTACCGACCATACGCGGTCGTATTATTTTAATTCCACTAGAAATCAGAAAGATCTTCTGTTTGTCCTTCCTTGAGAATCATGTTCTACAATGTCTAATTATATTGATAAACTTACAACCAGAAACATGACAAACAAATCGAACTAATACTTGAATTTGACCCATTATCTAAAAAAAATCCATTATTAATTCATTTTTATTCGTATGCATATCAAATATATATGTTTGTGTATATGTATAAATCTTCATTGTATAATCTTATTTCATATTTGTGGGTTTGCTGATTGGCAAGTGTTGCTTATAATTAGGGAAATCATATACTTAAGTGGGCAACGAATTTCGTCAACGATAAGGCCGGAAATGGGTGCGATAATGGGAATCAGTGTGCTGCATATCCTCCGGGATAATGGCACGCGTCATTTAAAACTAGACATGAAGTGATATGGAATCCAAAGTGAATGATTGCGGGAGATGGTTGTACAACCTAATTTTGTTAAGAGATCTTTTTTTTTTGTTTTTCCTAGCCAGCCTTATTACCTTTCGGTTTGTCGCCAAAGCGCAGTATGCGCGTCAGCATGGAGGTGAGGCACGGTATTTGCTTCTGGCGATCCATCATCGGAGTGGCGGGCACGTTCGACTCAAAGTCTAGAGCAACGCGCTGGTTGACGAAAGTGAGCAGGGTGAGCATGTCGTACTTTTTGCCATTCGTGTTCAGCTCCCGGATCAGCGACTGCATGTACCAGGAGCCGTTGTTAATGTTGCGCCAGGAGAAGTATCCTAAAGGAGGATAATTTAGTAAGAGATATGGATATTTCATAATCCCTATCCTTACCCGGAATGGTCGAGTAGGAGAACAGAAAGTCGGCGTGTATGGGTATCTTGTAGCTCGTCGAGGACTCGCCATCCGTCTCGGTAACAGCCTTCTCCAGGGTTATTCCGCCATCCAAACGATCGCCCTGGCAGGCTTGGATGAAGAACATCTTGGGTTTTCCCGCCAACGAGGGGCAGAAGCTGGCGGTGAAATAGTGCCAAATGTTGTCCAGCTTGTACTGCGTATCTTTGGCGTAAAGGTAGCCATGTTCCCCGTGGGAAAGGATGGCCACCGCCAGGCAGTCGTTGTCCGTGTGATCCTGTTCGGCGGCCTTCTCAATATGCTTCAGGATATCCCTTAGTTTGCAGTCCTTGTGCACGGACACCGTGAATCCCAGGGAATCCAGAGCTTTCTTCAGCTCCTGGGCATCCACATTCGTCCCGGTGCGGCTCTTCAGCGAAGGTATATCAAAGTGCTCATGATTGAAGATCAGGGCCAGCCCGCGGTGCTTGTGATTCATATTGTATTCGCTGGCATATCGATCCACCGGCATTCGGGCCACAAACTTGTTGGCTGGAAGGGGGGAGGCGCTGCGAAGAGAAGATGCATCCACTGTTTAATATGTCAATCGATTTAGAGGCCGAAAGCCGGGTGCGATAAGATTAGATTAGATAAGAGGCAGTGACCAAAATTGGAAATGATTAATCGTTGCTCGATTATGTAAAGAACTCATTTAGAATTTGGCAGACACTACGGCGTATTACTTGTGAAACTAAGTTAAACAAAAGAGTTCTTATCAAAAGAAAACACTTTCACAAAACAGTTCGCATTCGATTAATTGACAAATATATTGTATTGATTTAGACCTCAATAGTTTTTATGACTAAGACTTCTAGTATGGCCGACTGATTGATTGGTCGAAATTCAGTTTTTGGCCGTGATTAACTGTTTTTCAAATTCCTTTACAATATGTTATCGTGAAAGAGTTTATGCTCCGTATTACTTTCATAACCAAAGAATTCTAATAGTGATAGGAAATCACTTTCATAAATGAAATAATCTTATATTCTTGATAAGTCTTTGGCTGTCATGACAAATGAGCCACAATTTCTTGTGATTTCCACATCGTGCATGCTAAACTTAATAGCGTTTTTATACATCGTATATAACTATCTTCCCAGAACATGTATTTTAATACCATACTGATAATAAAAGTAGTTTGACTTATTCATAAAATATAAACTTTCAGTCAGGGAAGTTGGAGTTATGAAAGTTTGACTATATTTAAAAATAAAAGTTCTTCGATAAAATGACTAATTAGAATATGTAGAAGTATTTTGAAATAACATATTTTTCCTTTTTTTTTTAAACTTTGATAATGGCATTTTAGGAATAACTTTGAAGTATTTTTAAAAGTACATTTGTACATACAGAACTTGGGTCATATGTAAATATCATACGTAGAAATTACAAAGATAAAGACAGGTTACTAAAAACAATAATAAAATCTTGATTAATACTTTTATAAGATAGTCCATAAAATGCGATTGGTAATAATGGTCCTAACAAAAAAAGGCGAAAACCTAAAGTTTATTAATAGAGATTCAAGAATTCTTCCAGTACTTTAAAAATAACAAATGCGATAAACAGGGATAACGAAATACACAAACAAACAAGCGCATTGAGAGAGAGAAAAGGGCAAAGAGAGCCAACGAGAGAGCGGCACATGGACTTACCTCGCTGCAGTTGCATTTGCACCACCAACAACAACCGACTCCGGCGTACAGCCCTTGGCATCGGTATTATCAGCTATAAGGCCGCTGTTCCGACTGCCCCGCACCGCTCCATTTGAGCCGAGCACCCCAAAGTCGTAGTTTCTGGTTACGCACTCGTCCGTCATTTTGAGTCCCTCCTCGGCACTCTTTTTCTTGTTTTGATTGTTTGCGCTTCTCCTTTTGTTCGCCTTCGCCGTCTGCCTGTTTTTCTCCTCCTCCTGCTGTTCTTCTTCTTCTGCCTCAGTTGTTGCGCCCTTTTTGGGTGCGATTCTTGTTCTGGTTCGGGTTCTTCAACCAACTTGAGTTGGCCAAACTTTCCGCCGCACAGCTGTTTTTCTGCCTCTGTTTTTTGAAGTTTGCTATTAGGCTTAAACAATCAACTTAATGTCCTTTTATGGCTCAGATCAGACGTGCCTAATCAATCAATTAACGGAGGTTAAGCGTGCTTCTCGTTCGAAAACAAACTTCTATTGCATGTAGTGGTGTGTATGCACTTGCCGCCAAGCGGAGATGGCCCGTCTTCGATAGATTACTGGGGTATTTATCGACTCGCTTGAATATCGATTGCACAGGATTGATTGTGTATAAAGGGTATTTCCGTTTATAGCGGGAAATTATAAATTTAATTATAGTACTTAATATTTTAAAGGAGCTTAACTTTTAAATGCTAAATATGTTGCATATTCTTAAGAGATGGAGTAAAAATAGTATAATAGATACAAGCAGTTGTATCTTATTCTGTTATTCGGGGATGTCCCGAAAGTAAATTAAGATTGGCGAAAAGCCAAAAGGTTAGAAGAGGGACTTCCCTGTTCTATTTTTCGGAATTATTCTCAACTTAATCAGCCTTTGATTAGATTGCAAATATATTATATACAAAAAAAGAATGCCAAATAACAGATGTTTTACTTTTGTTGGAGTTTTCTTAAAAGTCGCTAAGGATAAGAGAACAAAAAAAAACTAAAAATAAAGATTAAGTTCAAGTAACTTGTAAACTTGAATAAAATAAATATAATATAAAACTGAAATTAATTTAAATTAAAGCACATAACAATAAGGACACTTTCATTAAATCCATCATAAATATAATTCCTATTTTTGTACTACCAGGTCTATGCCGGTGATGGAATGCCTGGGCATATCTGCCTAGAATGTCGTCTACTCTTTGAGCACTGCTACCGTTTCAAGCAGATGTGCAAGAGGGCGGAAACCCTCCTCCGGCAATACCCATTGACCGGAAACTGGCCCGCGCCGCTGGAGAAGCCCCGTGCTCCCATAATGACGGTGGCTCCCAAGAAGGTGGTGGTCATACCGGCTGCAGCGCCATCCGAGGCATCCGCTGCCGAAGCTCCCAAAAAACTGCTGAACACCATGGCCAAGTCGAACCCGGTGGTCATCGAGAATGTCCAGGTGCTGGAGACCACCTTGTTGCCCCACAGGAAGGTAGCCGTCTCCTCTCCAGTCACCACCAGTCGCCGATCCCATGCCTACGAGCTGAAGGTGGAGAACAACCAGGAGCTCTCCATGGACGATGTGCAGAACATGCTGGAGGACATGGCCAACGAACTGGACAAGGAGTTCGAGTCTGAGTCCACTCCCAAGACATCACCCGTGAAACCAAAGGTGTTGAACAAGTCGTCGATTCGGATCCTTAACAAGGGACCCTCTGCCCCGGTGGAACCTCGCTTGGCCACGCCCCAAGTCAAGCGAGATGACAGCGGCAATGTGGCCATAGTGACCGAGGTTCTGGATGCGGAGCTGCCATTAGACGATCAGGATGATCCCACGAAGAATGCCGAGACGGTGGCCACCGACGTGTTTCCCTGTCCCGATTGCGAGCGCTCCTTTCCGCTGCAGCAGCTGCTCGATATCCATCGGCTGAATCACACGCGCTCGCGCAGCTTCCAGTGTCCTCACTGCGAGAAGAGCTTCTTCTCCAAGTATGACCTGGCCAAGCACAATTTCATCCACACCGGCGAGCGGCCCTTCAAGTGCGCCGTCTGCAACAAGGGCTTCACTCGGAAGGCACTGCTCCATCGCCACGAGCGCACGCACACGGACGTGCCCAAGTTCATCTGCGTGTACTGCGAGAAGCCCTTCCTGTCGCGCCAGGAGATGGAGAAGCACGCCGAGCGGCACCAGAAGAAGCGGCCATTCCAGTGCGGCGTGTGCACCAAGTCTTTTGCCTTTAAGCAGGGATTGGAACGCCATGAGGTAGGAGGATCATCCCAATTGGCGTTGTTCTAGCTAACCAACTTCCTCTTTTCCAGGTTGTCCACTCCACCAATCTTCCCTTCCCCTGCCAGCATTGCGAGAGGAGCTTCTCCACCGCCTCCAAGCTAGCCCGTCATCTCGTGGCCCACGCCGGCAAGAGAGCCTATCCTTGCAAGTACTGCCCCAAGTCGTACATGCTGTCCCACCATCTCTCGCGGCACCTGCGCATGCACACGCAGACCTCGGACGCCTCGTTCGTGTGCAGCGATTGCAAGATCTCGTACAGCACCTACAACAGCCTGCTGGAGCACTCGAGAATACATGCTACAGCAACTCTGAAGTGTCCCATGTGCCGGGAGCAGATCGAGGATGTGGACAGCGTTGATGCCCACATGGAGCAGCACAAGGAGAGCGAGCGTCACGCGTGCGAGTTCTGTGATCACATATTCTTGACCCAGAGCTGCCTGCAGCGGCACATCGAGGACGATCATGTGATGGACATGGAGCCGTACCACAACGACGACTTTGAGGAAGAGCTCGAGAGCAAGGAAGACGACATTATCGAGGAGGAGGAGGAAGAATTGGACGAAGTAAAGGCTGAGGAGTTTGAGGAGGAGTATCTGGAAGACGATACCCTCGAAGAGGATCATCTGGATGATAGCGACGACTCCTTTTCGCCGCCTCCGCCTTCTAAGCAGCGCAAGATAAGCACATCCAAGGGAGTCCAGCAGTCCTCGCGCCAAACACGCAGCCGGGATACTCCAAAGGTCTCGCCAAAGGCAGTTTCAGTGAAGAAGGAAACCAAGTCGCCTCCGAAGCCGGAGCGCTCACTTGTCAAGAAACGCAGAGCTGCTAAATAAGTACTCGCGGCTATTGTATCCATGTTTATGCTTACACATTAAAGAATTTATGTACTCCAAAATCGATTAGGCAATCCTTTCTGGGAGAGAAGTTTGCCCTTAATGTTACTGGCCATCCCATGTCATTGCTCCTTTAAGGGGTGTCCTCGCTCTAATTAGATCTTTATTGAAGCGCCAACTTGAGTTTGGACAACGGTGTTTTCAGTGTGTCTGTGTATTTCCGACTATGGTTCAGTTACATTAACGTTTATCACTACCAAACAACGAATACATCCCGGCCTGGGCAGTGGTGGCCACCTAGTGCTCGTAACCGTCGGGCAGGGGGTTGACATGGGGGTTGTGGAACAGGCTCTTCTGGCCCTCTCCCCAAGGGAAGCGCTTCTCGCGGCGGCGCAGGTAGTCGTACTTGACGAACTCCTGGCGGGGCTTGTCGTGGTCCTCCTGGTGCTTCAGGTAGGCATTCAGCATGCACAGACCGACGGCGGGAACGGCCACGAAGAAAGACAGACGCTTCCAGACCTTGTAGCCACCTGGGGGATATGGTTTATAGGACAATAGATGTTATAAGAGCGACTCCTGAATCGATCTTGCCCAACGGCCAAATTACATAACCTTAACCTTACAAAAGCAGGCGAATTTGGCCATTGGGACTTCGGGCGGACACTTACCGGAGTGCTCGCCAGCCACGGCGGCGGTGCCGGACATGTTCCGGGCGGCAGTAGCGCCAAATTGGCGACGAATTGCGTGATTTAGAATAGCGGACATATTTTCAGTCGATTCCTGGCCCGAATGAAAATTTGCTATTTTGACAAGTAAATAGGGATGGCCCAGGTTGGCTAAATGTCGTTACTTGTTCGCTCTTGCATACGATAGTTTTGTGATTTCGCCAGTGACTCTTTAAAACGTTTTGGCCGCGTTCAGCAGAACATGGAGACTGATACCCATCACCGTTTGGAATAATTTTGGCATATTTAAAGGGAAATAACCATACATTCTAAATCTATAAATAATTAATTTTAAGAATTTATCCATGGTAGAAGTCCAGCGTAGCTTTCTTTCTACACCACCAGTTGAATATCTGAAAATGTGGTTGATAACTAAATTATAAGTAACACTTTTAATTTAGTGATGCGACAAAAACATCGATAGACTGCACAAAACATCGATGTTGATAATAAATTTAAAAAAATCGATGCATAGCTGTTTCCATCGAGGTTTTTCCACCTCTACACACTGCTTTCAATCGTCCATCCACAACAACAACGTGTCGCGTAATTATTTTCCCCTCTTGTTTATAAAATTCAGCGCATCAAATTGTAAATACACAGCACACTTTTGCCAAAAAAATCAGAATAACCAACCACAAAAGTTGGAGGAGCGCAACAACAGCAACACGAACTTCAGCAACGAACGGGAAAATCATTTATCGAACGGACAGTGAAGTGCTATTAATTAGGCGAAACAACCAATTGAAGTACAAATAAGCCCCAAACACCGCCAGCTACAGATATTCAATAAGTGCAAAGTTTGCAAGATTCTCACTAGACATAACGGTCGCTACACTCGAAAAAACACTCAAGTATTAAGGACGCAGGAGTGGAAATCGAGAGATATACGTACACACACATAGATACCCTGCAATAATGGCTGCCAACAACTTGCGACAAATCCCGCTCACCTGCAGCGGGCATACGCGACCCGTGGTCCACCTGGACTTCAGCGACATCTGCGACAGCGGCTACTTTCTCATCTCGGCCTGCAAAGGTAACAGAAATCGCAATTCCAAATCGCATGCGATTAGGCGTCCTTGTGCGCTATATATAGACACTGTTCCGTCGTTGCACAGTGGGTGCATTTCCCGAAAACCGTATCGAAATTGTCTGTCTTGGTTTTTAGATTGCAGTCTCGATACTCTTCTCGAAAAATCCGAATATTAGAACATAAGGAAGTACCAAGCTTTAAAGAGTATTCTTAAGTCCTATACAGTTTTTATAGTCCTTTACATGATTTTTATATAAAAAATAAGTCCCGGTTTATAACGCTCAGGATAAGCCGGAAATCCTAATACTATGTTTCTATGGAAAACATGTAAAGTTAAGAACCAAATAATTTTATAGATTTCCATTAGGAGAATAAATCAGGCGTAACAAAGTTTTTATACATTAGGACAGTTTAAGATTTCAATAAATTTTTTCAAAGATCCAGATCCATACAGTTCTTTGAGATAGTCTTTTTTCTCTACCTTCCTATTAGGTAAAGAATAGTTCTTCAAAATATAAGAAAGAATTTTTACAAAAATGTAGATCCTTGGAAAATATATTTGAAATAACTGTTTTCAAAAATATTAACCTTACTTATTAATTGTCGAAAAAGAAGTTAATAATTTTAATACCTTTAAAACCAAAGTTGTTGATAACCATTCTGTTAACTTTTTGTAAAAAACATTTCTTGTGAACAGGATATTCAACTACTTTAAACCATTACTGAATAATTTTTATATGTAGAAAAGTATTGTTTGGGTATTGAATGTTTTAATCAACCCTCACCGAACAAACTTAATTTTTAAAGAAATATGGTTATCCTAAAGGGTGCTATAAGCACACTACCAAAGGCCAAGTCAATCATTAAGCAAACAAAAATGGTATTGACAGTGGCAGAGGTTCTTTGATAAATTATTGTTTTCGAAGAAAAGATGCTGCATCAGATCGGCGAAACATAGGCAAAACATATGTACTTACTACATGAGCAAACACGATTTAGCACCGTCTAGCCTGCGCGCTACCTTGACCCAAATGCAGAGTCATTCATCGCGAGCGAAACCTGTTTGCTGAGTGCGAGCCCGAACCCTTTTCCCGCCACTCGCATGCTACAAAATTCGCGTTCTTTGCCTTGAGGTGTCAACTAGTCGATGCGATTGCAATTGCAATTGCATTTGCTATTGCTTGTTTTTTTGAAAACACTTTGCATTCGTTGCTTTCGCTAAATGTTGCTTTTATGCGGAAAGAGCGTATTCCCAGTGCAAGTTCAAGTTGATTTCGTTATCGCCTTTTAACGTACTTGCTTCCCCTTGTTTAGCAACTTTTCGAAACTTTGCTCGTTTGTGCTTTCGGTTCAGTTCAGGAAGCGCCTTGAAACTTCTATATTTATATGCTGTGTATATGCAGCTGCTATATGTACGGCTGCGGGGAGATCTGGAAGTCATCAGGAAGGTTATGACCAGGGGATACTCTTACCCGGTACTTAGGTTGGGATGCAGAGATCATCAAAAACATCTTTACATTGACAATCATCATACGAAAGATTCTGGTCAGTTAATACTTCTTTCCACAACAATGTGAAGATTTTCGCATTGTTAATAACATCCTTATAATAATAATAAAGCTTTCTTCAATATAGAGTATGAAATATAGTTTCTAGAATTCTGTTTGCCTTGTTCACTGAGACAGTATTTGATTTTATGAATCATTAGCAAATTTAAGGCCAATTACTTGTATAAATTAGATTGGGGAATTACAAGTTAATTCAATATTTTATTTAATGTGTTTGTTTTTCATTATGGAATTATATATTCTTTTTGATCATACAATATATTTTCTTGAATTTTTTAAACATATGAAATGGAATGAATGTAATAAACATCTTTAATCCTTTAAAACTACATAAGTTTCCAAACTAGATTGTGAAATTGAAATGATTAAAGATGCAGAGAACGCTACAGAAAATCCTTGCAGTTTGTACAAAAAGCAGTTTAAGTTCAAAAGCATCTAAGCAATTATAGAAGACCTTCAACTTGTCAGAGTTTTTCCCAATGCCCATTTGCTTAGCAGATTGTTTGTTAAAAATATACCTGCGAACGGGTAACCATTCACATTTGGAAATTAAATGTGGCTTTGATCGCACTAACAAGCCGCGTTCCTGCACTGCAGCCGTACCCTGCATCCCGATCCCGCCGCTTGGTTGGTGCAGTGCAGGTGACGTGAACTTGGGGAGCTCGCTTGCATGATTGCGAGCGGCAGCCAGGTCGTTGGCCTTGGCGGCAGGCATTGAGTCAAGGTGGCTTCCGTTCGCTAATTTATGCACGCACGCTCCCCGGCGAGCGAAAGCGAATGCAACCGACGACTGACCGAGAACTGTGCTCTTGAATCTTGCAGATGGCAGCCCGATGCTGCGGCACGGCGATACCGGCGACTGGGTGGGCACCTTCGAGGGCCACAAGGGCGCCGTTTGGAACGCCACCCTCAATCGGAACGCCACTTTGGCCGCCTCTGGAGCGGCCGACTTCACCGGCAAGGTGTGGAATGCGGTGAGCGGGGCCGAGATTCACAGCTTCCAGCACAAGCACATCGTTAAGAGCGTGGCCTTCGACATGGATTCCGAGAACATAGTGACTGGTAGCAACGAGAAGCTGGTGAGGGTCTTTAACCTGGAGCAGCCCGAGGCACAGCCGGAGGAGTACGCCGGACATGCTGGAGCTATCAAGCGAGCGCTCTTCTGCCGCGGCGACAAGTGCATCATCTCGGCGGCCGAGGACAAGACGGTGCGCCTTTGGGACCGCATGACGGGCATCGAGGTGCAGCGCCTGCAGTTTAACAGCAATCCGAACAGCCTGGAGATCTCCAGCGATAACCATATACTGACTATATCGCACGGCTCCTCGATTAGCTTCTGGGAGATCGACACGCTGAAGAAGCTGAAGGAGGTGAAAGTGCCGACGAACGTGGCGTCGGCCAGTTTGCATCCGGATAAACACGTCTTTGTTTGTGGAGGCGAAGACTTTAAGATGTACAAATTCGATTATATCACAGGCAACGAAATTGGTAAGGGAATAGTCTTATATGTACTTGATGATACCTAATGGTTTATTTCCCCACAGAATCCTTCAAGGGTCACTTTGGACCCGTGCACAGCGTGAAATTTAGTCCCGATGGGGAGCTCTACGCCAGCGGCTCCGAGGACGGCACTCTACGGCTGTGGCAGACCACAGTGGGCAAGACCTACGGCTTGTGGAAGTGCACCGAACCCACGGACCTGGGCAACTCCCTCAGCTCGCCGCGCGAAGTCCAGGCGAACTGATGTTGGCGCAGCAGGAGTCGCTGCTACACAGCCCACGCTGCACAGGCGACGCAACGCAAGGGCATGTGATTCGGAGCTACGGCTGAGATCTGTCCGATTACCAAAAGAACAACTCGTAATGTGGGCTACAATAACGATTCTTCATATTCCAACGCTGAACTCTCTCATTGGCATTAAATGATAATCACACACAAAACTACATTGTGAAATGCAATAGAAATAAATAACTTAAGTGTCGCATTTGTGACGTGAATGGATGCAGAAGTTCCGTGGTGGGCTTAGATGTGGGTGCCTGTGGCCCAGCCGTGCAGGTAGATGGTGGTGAAGTTCAGAAGCGGCTCGCCCTGGTGGACATCCGGGCGGTTCTGGAGGTGATCGAACCAGCGGGAGAGATTCAGATAGGCCTCCTTGTCTACGGGCGAGAGGGATTTCTGAAAGGATTGACAGGGGTTAGTTTAGCAATATAGGTAAATGATGGGAAATATTTTTGGAAATTTACAGTCTATCCGTCTGTCATACTTAACAAGTCTTAGCCAGTTTTCTTCACTTTTCTACAATAACCATAAGTCTACATCAATTTGTCCATGGTACATTTTAGTTGACATTTGTAAAGCTTACAAGCTGGGATAAACTATTCCTGGTCACAATAAACACCTACTTATTAGTAATAACCTTAAAACAACTCACCACAAGATCGTAGATGGCATAGTAGACGGCCAGGTCGGCCAGTGTGATGAAGTGGCCCACCAGGTAGGATTTGCTGGCGAAGAGCTTGTTGAAGTCGGCCAGGAGCTGCTTGGAAACGTGCTTGTCCTTTGAGCCGGGTGCCACGTAGAGAACGGAGAACTCGATCCACTGGTACACCTGGGCCTCCACCTCCCGTGACACCTTGCTGTTCTGGGCCGTCTCCGACTTGGATTCGCTGGCCAAACTCTCCAGGATTGTGGCGAATCCGGCCACGCTCTTCTTTTGGCCACTGGTACGCGTTACGACCTTCACAACAGAAAATAAATTGGAGGGGTCGTGAGAATCATTCGATTGAGGGTCAACTGCGTCAGCTATACCTGCTCCTCGTTCAGATGCACCTTGCCGGGATTCACGCCCAGGCAATTGGCAATCTTCTGCACTGTTGCAACGTCGCACATGGTCAGCAAAATTATAGTTATTTTGGCAAAAAAAACAAGAAACGATACTCAAGATTAGCAGACAGGGTTGCACGCTTTACCTGCGCCCTGTGAATTATCGATAAGTTCATCGATAACAAAGGCGCTGTTTTTAAAGTTGTGCTTGTCGTTTCTTGCTAATATTTTTTGTGGTAACCATATTAAATAACAGTGTGGTTTCTTTGATTTTTAAAATAAACACTTTTCATTATCATAATTATTAATTTTTTCTAAAAGGAATATAAGTTAAACATTTATATTAATTTTTAGTGATATTTCCCTGAACCGATTTAGCTAAAGCCTCATAGGTTACATCATATTGCAGCAGAAAGATGAAAAAATCAGCAGAGGCTACTAGCAGCTGTAAAACAAAATATAAATATATTTATTAAAATAAAGCTAAGGGCGGCAAACTCACCGCTGTTAAATATTTGAGGTTCAGATCTATTACTCCTCCCACCACATGCTGTCGTATATTCGTTCGCATTTGAAGAATAAAGTGGTTAATAGTATCCTGAAGATCGTTGCCAGAGCACGAGACGCCGCTTAATAAGGTCAAACACTTGGATTGCTGTAGGATAAATATTTTATAATAGTTCAGATAAAACTTTAAGACACCCACCTCGTTCTTTATCTTCTGATTGAAGTGCAGGATGCTGCAAACCTTTCCCAAGTGCATGGCCAACCAGAGGAGCATGTAGATCCACTTACCCAAGTCGGTTATCGTTGGATTCTCAATGCCCTGATAAACCAGGAACAAGACCAGGTTAAAGTTCAAGAAACATCCCACAAAGAGGAGTACAATGGAATACTGAAAAGTGCGGTTCACCAATCTGGTAAAATTTGTCAGCTCTGCGTGGTGCAGGCGAAATCTTTGGATCTCCGCTTTCCGAGGGTTAAGTAAGTGGAATATTTCCCGCTCCAGGTTTTCGGTTACCTTCCTCTGACGCCATGCGATTCCTTGGAGCAGAAGGTAGTACTGAATAAAGGATAAACTGCTTATGATATTGGGCAGCACATAGCTGTTAATACTCAAGAGCGACCTAGGTATCACAAATTTTTTACTCCAGACATCTAAGATAACGGCCAGACAGGTGAAAATCCCCAACAGAAACAGCTGCAGCTTAATAAACCTCTTGGTTCTCTGACAATCTATGTCATAGCCCCTTTCCAGATCCGATCTTACAATACCCTGTATGACTTTTGGAACCGAGTTCCTCCATTGCCAAGTGAGAAGCATGATAACAAATATATGGATCACATAGACTCCAGATTCAATGGAATTTAGGTAGCGATCCAGTGAAACTCTGTTTATAGTGACGAGCACGAATTCAACGTAGGAGGCCATGGCGAAGTTTCCATACCAAATGATCATCCATAGTAGATGGATCAATCGATAGAATCTATTGGGGCTGCCGGGAAGAATAGTAATAGGTGCAGTATTCGCCAGAACGGAGATGAGTAGTAACCAATGAAGGGCATTATGAAGCAGCTTGAACCGCTCCACATATTGCAGATGGTAAGAAGATGGTCTGCAAGGTCTAGAAATAAAGTTTATAAGAAATTTGTAGGTGGTTTTTTCTTTACCCTTCCTTTAACCAAGCTTTGAGCTTGAGACGTTTCGTGAGCGGTTTCTTCAAGCTCCACATTATAACTGTTCAGGATGTATACTTTCTAATAACCATTTACTCATGTCAAGACTTTCTAGCCAATCATCAATCAAATCAAATGAAAGTAAACTCCTTTAATCACTTTTAATCATTAATTGAAAAGACCTCAGGATGGACAGTTCGTATTGGGCGAATTTCCTGCTGACTATCAATCGATTTCTGGGTATATTTCCCAGTGGACGAAGGGGATTTCTCCGCTGGATCCACTCTCTTTGGTGCCTGTTTCTACTTTTATACATCTGGATAGGAAGCATTTGTAAGTTAAAGGAATTCAGATTGGATATGCCCACCATCGAAAAACTACTCTACTTGATGGAGTTTCCGGGAAACATGTCGACTATTGCCATCCTGGTTTACTATGCTGTATTAAATTCTCCCCGTTCTTATGAAGTGGAGGTGCAGATTCATCGCCTGATTAGAGGTCTCGAAGCCAAAGCTATTCGTATTGTCTATAAGAAACAAGGTCAGAGAACTGTTCATCTAATGGTGACGGTTATCGTTTTCCATGGCTTGTGTACTGTGATGGATATAGTCTATAACTATAACTATGATTTTTGGACCAGTTTCTATAGTAACAGTGTCTATAATATGCCTGCTTTAATGATGAGTCTAGGGGTACTCCAGTATGCCCTACCTCTGCACCTCCTTTGTCTTTTGCTGGAGCAGATGAGGATATCTATTGAGGATCTGAAGCTGCGACAGAGACCCTCGAGGGATATAACCAAATTGGATGCCGGATACGAATCCGCCTTTGCTGTTCTCGTGGACGCAGGTGGAGGAACTTCCTTGCTTATCGAAGAGATGCGGTCAACCTGCAATCGTATAGATCTAATCCACAAGCAGTTACTATCCCGATTTGGTCTTTTTTTGCTCCTAAACATGATAAATTCTTTGATTAGCTTTTGTGTAGAGCTCTACTTGCTTTTTGATTTCTTCGATAATCCGGTATGGGAAGAATCAATGTTGCTAGTGTATCGCCTGCTTTGGTTGGTAATGCATGGAGGTCGTATATGGTTTATCCTAGCGGTACACGAGCAGATCCTGGAACAGGTAATCATTATAGTTTTAAAGTGGAATATTCTTTGATACATATATTCCCAGAAATGCAACCTCTGTCAGCTGATCAATGAGTTGGAGGTGTGTAGCTCCCACCTGGAAAGGACCATTAATCGTTTTCTGCTGCAACTCCAGACCAGTATTGACCAACCCCTGGAAGCTTGTGGAATCGTGACATTGGACACTTTGTCTTTGGGAGGGGTAAGTCGCCAATTAACCCTTTTGTTGCCACAATTAATGTACAGCCTTTGTCCATTGACAGTTTATCGGGGTTCTGATGGCCATTGTCATATTCCTCATACAAATCGGCCTGGGCAATAAATCGCTAATGGGTGTTGCCCTTAACAGATCTAATTGGGTTTACATTTGAGTGAACAAAAATATGTAAATCAAAAGTGGAATTACCCTATAATTCTGAAGGTTTATATACTATTTTTGTACTTTTATTAGGATTGGAGATATGTGGTTAAGTTTTAAAGACCGGACTTTAAAATTTAATTATATCCATGTTTGATTCATAATACTAATATTGAATTATTATTAACAAGACCTTTTTAAAATCTGTTAATTCATATTTTTTTTTTGCTTTTTGAGTAATATATTAAAAAAGAAATAACATCTTTAAATAAACTAGAAATAATGTATAACAATAAATAATCTTTGTTTCATAAGTTCTTAGTTTTCTTTGGAGTGTATTAGTTTTTGGTAGATTTGCCAGCGATAATGGAGTCCTGAGGCCTTTTATGCCGTACCTTATATAAATCAAATAGTAACTTTTGAATAAAAGCCGTGGAAGGCAAGCTTTTATTTTCATTCAATAAAAGAATGTCCAACCAACGACTGAGGCTTTGGATAAGGGGAATATCCGGCCGGATCCTCCGAGGACTGTTGGCCTACCTTCGATTGTTCTTGGCTGGCTGCGTGAGTTACTCCGGTCGCCTGCGGGATGTGGTGGCTCAGGCAGGAGCTGAAACGGGTCTCCTGGCCCTGAGCTTGTGCGTCAATCGGAGTATTCACCTACTGGAACGCCTTTTCTGGCTGGCGGTGGTCATCAGCAGCGTGATTGCCGCCTTGGTGCTCAGTCGCTTCCAGTTGGAGCGATACTTTAGCTCACCCACTGTGATCTCCGTTGATCGGGATTATCGTGGATGGAATGGATCCCTGCCAGCAGTAACCCTGTGCTACTACGACCATATCGATTCCTTCAAGGCCAATGAGTATATCCAGGAGGTGTGGAATGTGTCCATCATTGACGAGGATTACTTCTACTTCATGGACTTCCTCTACGCGGTGGTGAATGCCACGGCGGGAAACTACGCTGAATTGGCCAAATTTTCGGAAGACGAACGCTTTGATCAGGTAGATCTATACGAGATGATCCAGCGGGTGGATCGACCCTTCGAGCAGGTGATCAGCAGCTTCGACTCCGGTTTCCAGGTCCATGTGCAGCGGGTAATGACGGAACGAGGATCCTGCTACGCCATCAATTCGCCCATGTCCACGGTGCTGAGTGGCCAGTGAGTTTGGGAATAGAATGGGGATATTTACAGCGATCCTCTTACCAAGGACCCTCCTCCTTTTCAGACCCGTTGCCTACGAGCTGATGCCGCAACCTTTATCCTGTCAGTATGGCAAACAGCAGTGCTACATCCGAATGGATCTGTATGAAAGCACTGGAGTGGTGGGTGCACAATAGCTTCCATTGAAAGGTACTACGAAAATAATATAAAATCCAACCTTTTAGATAGACGTTCATTCGCCATTTGAGGTTTCGGCCACAGAGGCGAACATTGTGGCCCTGCACAAATCCGACGAGATAACGGCCTCGTTCAAGGTGCTAGAAACGGTGTAAGTAGACCAGAACCCCAGATTTAGATCTAGACAGACCCTCCCTCCATAAAGAGATTGATTTATATGCTCCTCCATCTCTAGGGCATCGAAAAATTTACGTGAACTCAGTGTGGCGCAACGCAAGTGTGTGTTTAACAACGAGGAGACATCCAACCTAAAGGTATCTATACACTAGTAAAAAAATTATAACGAAACTATACTCACTTCAAAAACAGAAAAGACTTCATATTTTCGGTAAGAGGAAAATGAAAAGGTGCTGTTTTTCATATCTAGTTTACATTTTTCAATGGTAAACATTATACTTGTTTCTAGGGAATATTAAATTAATACTGGAACTTTTTTTGCTGTGCATTTAATCCACCTTATCAGGGCGAAGATGTTCTGGTATTGGAGCGATGCCCTGCGTTTCGGTTCGGCAAATAAACAAATTTCTCGAGTCAAATACTCGTAGAAACGCAGTCTGTGATAAGCCGTATCAGTGCAAGAAACTCAAATGTTCCTCATAAACTCCCATGCATAATGCCCTGAATTTATGAGAAGAATGTATTATTAGCAAAGCACGTGCTTTTGTATTTATATAAGATTTATAGTTACTATTCACCTATTTAATGATAAAAATTTTGTGTCTTATAATCACCTTTTCTTCTTTTAAAAGAAACTTTATAATCATTTTATTCGTATTCTATTGAGATTACGATTTGAAATTAGTTTGTTTTTTACTTTTTATAAACATTTACTACTGAATCCGTTATCCACCTTCATTATTATGAATAGATCTACAGCAAATCTCTGTGCCTGGCCCGATGTCGAGCGGTAATGGCTCTGGAGATGTGCAACTGCGTGCCCTTCTTCTATCCGTATGTCGAGGGACCCAGCTGCAATCCCGCCGGATTCGAGTGCCTGCTGGACTTCAAGTGGCCCATCTGGGCACTGCACATCTGCAAGTGCCCCTCCACCTGCACGGAGATCGAATACACCATGCAGACGGTAAAGAAAAGTTCCTGGGGCGTCAAGAACAACGAGGAGGTGGCCAGCAGCGAGACAGCCACCTCCAGCTTCCGCTGGGATCTGATCCCTCCTAAGGTCCGTATGCGACGGGATGTGGTCTATAGTTTCGAGGATCTAGTGGGTGAGTGTTCATAAAAGTTTAATTTCCTTGAACTTATAAGTAAGTGTACTTAACCCTAAGTTAAAAACAAAATAAACAAAATTATATGTTTATGATATTTTGAATTTTTGGTTTGGTTTTTTCAGTAAATGATCCAAAGTTTAAAAAATATTATAAATATAATAAGGTTAAAAATATATTTTTTTGTTATTTATTGTCGACTGTTAAACATGATTTTCTAAAAGTTCTATCTGATGACACTTACTCTTTACAGTATCCTTCGGAGGAGTCCTGGCCCTTTTCGTGGGCGTCAGCGTGATGGGACTGGTGGAGATGGGGCATGTGCTCATCTACAACATGCTGCTGGACATCCTCACCCTCCGCCGCGTGGTTTTTGGCCGCCTGAGGCGGTGCTGGCGAAGAGACGACCGCAAACCGGAGGCGAACCACCTCAAGAGCCGACTGCACCACTTCGACGACCGCCTCTCTTTGGCCGACACCGCTGAACTGCCTCCATTTGACTATGTGAATTGATAAGCGACAATTAGCTGGCAACCCAAATGCGGTCAAAAGTTTAATGTTACTCGGGGGGTATGGATGGGATGGGGCCCAGAGGTGGGCGATGCATCTGTTGGGGGTAGAAAACCATGTCGCCGGCATCGGCGTTGCCCAGTTGCCGCTCAGTCTTCCACGCGAACAGTCGACTGTGTTTGACCGCGATTCCGAATCCCCGTTCCCCGTGACAGATTTAAGGTTTCTCTCCCCAAAGATCCCGGGTAGATATGCAAATACATTGTAGACGACGAACCCTCAGATAAGATTAGCCTGCTCTGGAGGCGATAAGTCGGAAGATCAAACAGTCAGAATTACAAAGTTTATAATCAGAGGTGACTGAACCCCCAGAAATTGGATTAAAATGCAAGAATCCGGCAGTTCGTCGGGTCAGGGACAGGGAGGACCATCCCTGTGCCTGG